TTTTCATTTTCTTCATCTCTTACTATTTACTATTTCCCTCTTTCACCCTGTCTCAAATCCATTCAAATCAGATTATAAAAAAAAATAATGAAAATAAAAATAAAAAAAATTATATATATATATATATATATATATATATATATATATATATATATATATATATATATATATATATATATATATAAATGAAACTTACATGCAAGGCTTTTTCTTGGTTCCCGGTCCACCATACTTCTTCATATCTAAGCAGTTGACACACTTTCGGCAATTGGGTGTTGTACATCCTGGACACTTGTTACACCACTGTGTTTTGCGAAGCACCTGTAAGAGTTGTCGTCTTTGAGATCCCACTTTTCTTTTACCAAAATGACAAACTACTATCAAACCAATGTCTACAATTAACTTTCCACTATGAAATTGGGATTATTACCTTGCCACTAGCTGTTGTTGTTACAGTCACAATTTTGCGCTTCTTGTCAGATTTGCTAGAGGGAACAATGACCTTTATTGGTGCCTTATCTTCATCCTTCCCTGGAGATGGGAATACTGCACGAGGGATACCCAACACCTGAAATTTGCAACAATGTCATTACAGCTTTAATACAGCTGATCTTAACCCAATGACGCCGGGTGTACAAAAGGAAAATAAAACTCTACGCTCTGGCAAACAAAGGCAGCGCGCCGACTTTGAGCGCTGGAGTACGGGGCGTCAGCCCGAATCACTGGCTCGCCGCGCTTTGGCGCGCCGCCGGCTGGTTTGGCCGCACGCCACCTTTCGAGCGATTTGTTTACACGCGTATCGCCGTCACCCGGCGGCAAGGGGTTAAGAATTATGAAATTTGAAAAAAAAACTTTTTGGTCTCTCATTGAATTCAATAAGTTACAACTTGGTTAGCCAATCAATATTCAAATCTCTCGTAATCTAGTTTGTAGGTATTGTCACTGGCTGAAGAGAATGATGATAATAGTGAAAACAAGTTATCTCAAGCTCTATATTCAAATTCTATACTCTACTTCTGGTTTTCAGCATGTCACTTTTCTTTTCGGCTCTAGGATCCAGGTAATTAACATGTTACAATGATGCATGCATTATATGCCCACACCACATGCCTTGGGACATTGCCCAAGGGAGAACATGATATGTAATGCTATTGTTTTGTATAAAAGGGGAATTTTATCACAATTCATTCGCTTGCCATGCTTGGAAGATGCCACACTCCAAAACACAGTTCTCTCTTGCTGTTGATGTGAACCTGTAAGTAACCTTTACTCTTGTGTACCACATTCAATATTGTACACAGAGTGTAGCATGACTTATTTATTGAAATGGATTCTAATATAATTAGGCTACTACAGGTTCAATTTAGCAACTAAAATGCATATCATGCATCTCTAAATTAGCAAAACTTCCTGTTTTGCATACGAGTGATATAAAAACATATCACTTTGATGGTGCGGTACAGCAAGTGCTACAGACCGGCTGCATCTGAAAAAGGCCTCAAAGGCAAGCCAAGTCTGCCCCACAGAGTACCCAAAACAGAGATCAAGTGAATCTCACATTCTCCCGAAGGCAATGGGTTAAATATGGTATTGTCTGGTAGGTTTCCTCTAACAACACATATGATACCATTGCAACATCCTATTACTATGTCTTTTTTGTGTGAATGAAGAAGTGTATCAACTAGTGTTTCTGGTACTGTATGGCAAAGTCAGTGACACCGAGAGACTTTTGATAACGTCATTGACGGGTTAATCCACTCATAGCAGATATGTTTAATCACATCATGCAAATAGGGCCTACATGCTGGGTGTTGAACATCCATGCCAATGTGGTCAAGGCTGCTCTGACATGTATGCATGAAGTAGCTGTTGGCTTATTTGGCCCTAACTGCAATCACTGAAGAGGTACAGCCCCTCAAAAGACGGCCTAAAGCCTCTTTTAAGCCTGTTTTCTAAAACATCATACATGCACTTCTAATTTCTAACACAAGCGGGTGACACACAAAATCCAGTACACAGCTTGATAAAGCCCTCAGAAATCTTGTATTAACAGTTACATATTCCTTTATAAATATGTGCTCAATCCACTTATGCTTGGATGGCAAAAATGCATGAGAGTCCACTGTGATTTCAGTTTACCAAGTTTGCTTACATACAGATGGCTCCACAAGTGCTTAGTCTGCAAGGAGTCAATTACTCATCTGTTTACCCTTCTCACATGTTCACCCTTCTTACATAATAACCCTTTCCTCTAATTTTTGGAAATATTTTTATTATTAATTTCTTACTGCTATTAGCACTAATGACATTTTCATAATCCTGTTGTTAATAACAATAATAATAAAAGCAGTAACATTTATAGCATTAGGAAAAAATCTGAAAGTCAGGGAATAAGGATATCAAGTGAGGTCAGGAAGGCCGGCTAATTGACACCTTGGTAACTGAACTCTTTTTGAGCCATCTGTTACTATACTTGTTAAACCAGCCTGAATGGCCTGAAAATACAATGTTTGCACGTATTGTATATGAAGCAACCAAATTAATGACAGGAAATTGAGGAATCCCCGGAAAGGTGGGTTTTGAGCACCTTGTGGTAACAAAGATCTGCATTTAGTAAAAAATGATACCATAAAATCACAGTAAAGTCCAATAATGGCAGCCAATGTTAGACCAATGAATAGTCTTTTATTTATTTTATTTCTCTGTAAAACATAAAATACTTCTTTCTCTATGGAATAACTTTAAATGTACTTTCTGGATTTTAAATTTAAACTGGCCTAAAATTTGTAATTAAAAAGAATGCAGTTATGGTCTTTATATTATGCTTACCTGTGCCTGGCTACGACAGACGTGCTTGACCCTGGGCCCGCCCACCTCAGGATGGGTTCCGTCTATCTCCTCGCTCTCCGATTTGACTATCTGCTTGCTGTCCATCCCAGCTGCAAATGCATCCTTCCTGCTCATCTTCCCAAGCTGAGATCCATGCTTCCATGCCTCCTCTGACAGGCTGCTGCCACCTGAAGCCTTTCCACTTAGAATTTGGGAGACTGCTGAATCCTCCCCAACATTTTCCGGGATGCTTTTGAGGGAGGCCTGGCCGCTTAGTTTCCTGTAACACTTCACAATTTTAGTTACATTTCTCTTCGTGCACTCTTCTCCAGACACACAAGAATCCTCAGAGGTCTTGGGAATTTCACTGTCTGAGAACTCGCTAACTTCTGAAGACTGGCCCGAGGTAGATGTTCCAAGAGCCACTGCTACCTCTGCAGCAGCTGCCTTCATCTGTTTCTTCTCCAGTTGTTCATTATAATCCTCCCTCTTCAAGACTGGCGGAAAGTAATAATCAAGATTGCCTTTTGATTTGCCTGCTTTCTTGAAATACGCCAACAGCTCTATGCGGGATCGGAAAGTTTGTCCATCAGGGCTGTGCAGCAGAGCAACTTTGCCTTCTCCTTTCTCATTCCACTTGATCTTTCTTGACCAACCACCTCCAAAGTGAGAAGTCTGATAACTGGAAGGCTTTTTGGGCTTGGACTTTGGCTTGGCTTCAGGTACTTTTATTGTTTCATGAATGGGCTCGGACTCTGACACCATGGGAGAGGAAAATTTAGAGTCATCCGAGACATCCATCCCAGCTGGAATATCAGACTCCCCACCTACCAGATCTTTTTCTTGGTCTTCTGAATTTATACTGAATATTTTCTCCTTGGCATCTTCTGAGGATTTACTTGTACTAGACAATTGAGCAAGTACTTTTTCAGCGGTCATATTTTGTACTGCCTCAGCACCACTTTGTGCTACTTGCTCCTTTGAAAGACTCTCAGATTCCTCCTCACTAAACACCTTTTTTCTTTTGTCCTTCTTACTTTTGTGTCTACGTCTTCTATCTACAGGTTCTATGCTTTTTTTCTGGATTTTCAGAACAATTTTTCCCTTTTCAAACTGATTTTCTCTTGGTACATCATCTGGTTTGATGAATACAGCTGTGTCATCTTTTACTTCCTCCAGTTTCTGCACTTCTGATTCTTCTACAGTTTCTTCAGGGCTTGCCATAGAAGCTGAAGGAGAAGTTTTCTCACTATCTTCACTTACATTGTTGGATCCTGCAGATAAGGTTTTGTTTGTCGGTGATAGCTCACACACTGCAGCTTTTGGTTTGTTCTTCAGTCTTTTAGAAAAGGTCTTAGTAAACCCTTTACCAGAATTCCTATTCTCAGATTCACTTTCTGTGGTGTCAGTGAGGCTTGCATCACCCTTTTTCCTGCCTAAAGAGAGTGATCGACTTCTCGCAACAATCTTTGGTTTCTTGTACTTCTTCTCAGCAGCTTTTGCCTCTGACGACACATTCACTTCCATCTGCACTTCTGACTTCTTGTCAACAGACTTGACACTTTTTAGGGAAGAGACAGATTTACTTCTGAGATGTCCTTCCTTGTGGTTCATGACCTTGGCCTGCTTCAGCTGAGCATATTTCATCTTCTCTTTAGCATTACGGGATAGGCTCCTCATTCTTGATTGTGGTGTTTCTGTCTCACACTCTGAGGCCTCTGGAGACTTGTCATCAGAGCTGATCTCCGAACAAGGCTCTGAGCTAGACAAGCGCTCTGTACTAGAGGATCCAGTGGTGTCACTTGAACTAGGTATGGAAGCATCTGAGTGCCCTGTAACAACTGGGAAATACTTGTGAATATCATCTACTTTCCCAATGAGCTGGAAGTAAGCACTCAGTTCTCTTCTTGATCTAAATGTTCTTCCATCAGGGCTGTAGACATAAGTGTCAAAGCGATCACCAGCTGATCTCCATTTGATACGACGCACCCAACCCCCAGGAAGTGTTGTCATGACCACCTTCCCCCGACTGCTGTTATTTGTTGGCGGTGATGGCCGTGACTTTGGTTCATTACTCCGCACCACTGCAGGGCTGCTATTGCCAAAGAGAACTCGAGCATCAGTGGTTATCCCTTGCTTTTTCAGGAATTCCTCAAGCTTTTGTATGCTCTTGAACTTCTCACCACTTGGGCTAATCACAATAACTTCAGAGCCAGTTTTGCGTTTCCAACCACCAGGCAAATCCATTACAGACCCAAAGGCACCCCCTCCCCCTGGGTCAAGCGGCAAGCGCTTGGTATGTGTGGCCAGTTCAGCATCTTTTTCAGACACAACCGGCAAGTTACCACCACTCATACATCGAGCCAAGCTGGTGGGGATTTGTTCCTTCAGGATATTGGGTAAACGTTTACGCAATCTGTCATGGAGGAGGTTCGGCAAAGAGCAAATGAGAAGGATTCTGCCCAGCCAACATGCATTACAGCGACCTTCAACCAGCTCTTGCACTTGACATTCAGCTTTGCTGTCTTTACACTCGTATACTTCTCTGGATCCATCACTGGAGTTGCTGATGAAGGAGTTGCACTTCTCACACACTATCACTCCAAACTTGCGAGAATTCCCACCTTCTTCACTATCACAGACTGCGCACTTTCCTTCCACACCTACAGGCACAAGAACAGAGTATCAGATGTAATAAATATGTAAAAGTGGTCTTAAAATATATACACCTAGAATGAGTGTCCATTTGAAAAAGTGTAACTACATATTGCATTCATAAACCATCTAAGATGATAAGGGTGATGGTAAAATCAGAACAGTACAGTTCAGTATGATGTAAACTTGTATCTAAATATAATTGTACATATAAATGCAAATACAATTGTAATTCGAAATCAGTCTGACAATAAAACCAACTGTATGTGTAAATGTGGATGCATATAATAACTATTCATATATCTACATTTACATTTGGACATTTGAGGCAGTCTTGTTACCCAATGGATAAAATTACAAAAGAAAAATACCTTCATCTGATGCTGGTATGAGTCTCTGCAATGACACTGGATTCCTAATCTTTTGCAATGTAGTCTTGTTAAGGTTCAGTCTTGCTTTCCTTAAAATGTTCCGTGAGATGGCTGAAGCTGACATTGGGGATGAGGCACCGAAGGCTGAAGCTGGCATACCCTCTTCCTCGCCTCTTCCAACCTAAATTTTTAAAAATGGATTAAGTTACTTCTCATTCTATGCTCATTCTCTGACAATAAAATGGATATATTAATCATAGGAGAGATCATTTGGTAACATTTCTAGAAAGCATATATTAGAAAACAAAGAATATAGGTTTCAGTAAAATCACATTTTTGAGAAATTTTCATTAAACCATAAAGAACACCAGAGTTCAGAGATCATGTGAAAATGCATGATTACTTTAGATCTAATAGTTATGACATCAATATTCATAATTAGAATAATTTAGAAAATTTTTAACAAAACATAAGCAATCCTATATTTTACCAGTGATTTCCCTCCTTATCTTATTTAAATCAGTAAGCGCAGTTTTCTCCTGACTTCTGAGCCACATGCTGCAGAGACCAAGAGCCAGTATACATGTCTACTGGTTCAATACCCCTGCGCGAATCATCATTTTAGGTGTTATACACTTCATGTAAACTGAAATAAGCATCAGATCTTTACCTTGCTAGACTGCTTCAGTCTATCATCCCACGGTGACCGCAGTAACTTTCCAATTTTCTCCATGACCCTTGACTCCTTGGGGTCGCATCTCTGGGGGGAGTCTGGAAGTTCAGCCTCCACCTCTTGCTGTGGAGGATCCATGCGGCGCAGCAGGCGTTTGGGAGGCCTTCCTACCTGAGCTTTGCTGGGCCCAGTTATGGATTCTGTGTAGAGGGAGATTGTTCTGCGCATGCGGTCACGTCCTACACCACCCTCTGTACTTGACAGGGAGTCAGTACTCTGAGCCCTTGATCGGGGTAGAGAGAGGAACTGTGTGTGTGCACCCCTTCCTTTGCGAGTGAGCTTTACCAACCTCTTGCTGGGCATACTTGCATGTTCAGCCATTTCTCCACCCAATGAAGACTCAAGAGAACTGCTTGCTGTACACATTTCTGTTATGTCAGCAAATAGTCTCTTATTTGGTTTAATTATCCTTGAAGATCGTACACTCATAGACGGAAGGACAAACCGTTTTGGACTCTTTTCACCAACCACAGGCAGAGAGTTGACTGTTCTTTTAGCCTTGGCTCTTGCTAGCAATTTCTTTGCCAGAGCGGTTTTCACTGTTGACGATGTTCTGCTAACTCTCCGTGCCGTCTGTTTTCTTGCCACTGGTCTTGAGGATATGACTGCCATCTTCATTTCCTGTAATGCCGCACTTTCTTGCACAGGCTGTTCTGAAGGAACCACAATCTCTACATTCTCCTTGCTCGCAGGCTGAGGAGGCAAGTCTCTTTTCTCACTCGTTCTTTCCCCTCCCCCAGGTATACTGTCAGCCCCTTCCTGAACTTCCTTCACAACACCTTCAAGAGAATGACCCCTTCTCCTGGTCACCATTGGAGGATCTTTGCTGTTCTCTGCCCCTCCCTCTTTCACTACATCTCTCATAGGAGTCTCCAACCCACTCACTCTTCTTCTTGTTACCACTGGCAAGTCTGTACTACTCTCAAGGTTCTCTGACACCTCCTTTGCAGGCAGTTCCACATTACTTGTTCTTCTTCGGGTACTTGCCATCA